TAAGTGCCACTGCTGTAAGCAATTAGTTAGCTGGTTTCCACTTTTTCGTTGCTTTTTAGCACGTATTTTGCTCCAAGGATATTTAAATAGTACTATGAGATAAATTCATTGGATGAAACTACATACCCAAATGTCTTCTCAATAATCAAAACAAGCCATCAATCTTAAACCCTGTGTCTCTAGAGGTGTGATGGTATTAGACCATGTGCTGAACTTTGTGCCAGAAGAACTTCTACCATAGCGTCTTCAGGATTTACACGTAAACAAAGGGCTTCCTTTGCAAAGTCAGAAACACGGGCCAACTTCCGTATTCAGTGATATTAATGAAAGCACCATGAAATACTGAGGACAGACAATATGTTTCAAGCAAACTAGAGGACAAGATAAAAATCACTCAAAGTAACTCAAGACAAAAATAGCAGTAGAATAAATCATAAAATTAAATATATGTATAATCTTAAAATTGGTCATCCTCAAACCAATGCCAATGTGTGCAATTCATGAAACCATAAAATGTATGAGCTTTCCAGATGAACAGCTCTCCAGAAAGGTATTTCAGCCCGTGAGAAGTTCTGAGAGCTAACAGTAGTGTGCCAGTTTAAAAAGTAAGCAAAAAAACAAATTAGTTTTCAACTGCAAATTCTTACCCATTTTTTCTTCTAAGAGTGGAAACAGTCTATGCAATAACCGTGAACAACTGAAACAATCACAAGCAACTGTACATGTAGTGAGCATTTAATTTATGCAACTCGTCTATTTCAATCTACAGCCTTAAGTTGCGTCAGAGGAGATTAAGGTTGGACATCAGGGAAAATTTCTTCTCAGAAAGAGAAGTGATGGGCTGGCACAGGCTGCCCAGGGAGGTGGTGGAGTCACCATCCCTGGGGGTGTTCAAAAACCGTGTGGATGTGGCACTGAGGGACGTGGTCAGCAGGCATGGTGGGAATGAGCTGGTGGTTGGACTGGATGATCTGAGGTCTCTTCCAACCTTTATGGTTCTATAGGCAATTTTCAAGATCATTCCTTTTGTCTAGCTCCCTATTTGCTGTAATACCATGCATAGGGCTACCCTCTCTGATAGCTCCAGTGCCTAGAAATGAGTCCTGCTTCTTCTCCTTAACATTGGGTCTTAAAGAAGGGAACTGCAAGCGTCTCTTAATGGCTGTCTGAAGGGCTCAACAGTTCATCTGCAACAGAAGTATCTGAAAGCAGAACCTGAGTCACACCTTAACTTGGATTTTCTGCTACCGGATAGAAACTACTGAGTGACGGAGAGAATACTGATACTACTGATAATAAGAAGTTTTTATCACCTTACTTATCAGATAATTCTAATACGTAAGTGAATATAAATAAGGCCAGCAAGCAGTCTTCACTTCCAGTGGGAAACGGAAGACAAAAAATTAAGGTACCAAATTTACTTTCTGTCTCCTATCGACACCGTGTGCTGCCTAGTTTTAAGCATGCCATGGGTGACAAAGTCAGCATTTCACTCAGGAAAACCTACGACCATCTAACCACAAATCCCTTGAGCAGCACAAATCAGCTGAGGACCTTTGCTCCTCCAGGTCCTGCCTGCAAGGTACATCTGTAGAAGCAGCTGAAGAGTTTATGATAGACTCAGTAAAGTCTCAGAGAATGACAGTTATTAACCAGAAAGGGGATGTGGCTAAGCTGGAGTTTCTGGAGATGCTACTTCTGTTTCAGATCAAGAAATTTCCCATACATTGTGTCCACTGCTCTCAAAGACGACATACATGGTGCAAATGGACACATCAGACTGTACACTACTAGCACTACTGCCCTCAACAGAGCACAGTTTGTCATTCTACCTCTGAGACACAGTAGACTGCTCCTGCTTCCATGGTGCACGCATTCTGAAGACACTGCAATTGGCATTCCCTCAGTCACCCATCTTTTTTTCCCTGCTGTTCCTTTAAATTATGAAAAAGTGAAGTCCTTTTATTAACTCAGCTCTTCTGAATTGGATGTGATATTCCATGGCCTGCCTGGTTCTATTAGAACTGATTTCAGCTCCACACAATGCTCGCATGCCTCAAGCCAGAAATGGCTATGCTCATTACTATGAGCAGATCACGCTGGAAAATGAGGTTCTTCTTTCTTTTTCCTTCTACATTTATAGCATTCTAGATCTCCTAACCCTTATATAACCATTCCGAAAAACAAAATTTGGAATGCTCACAGATACTCTAACCTTCACAAGCTGCTGCCTCTTTTTACACTGTTATCTCTCAGTTTAACCCAGCTACAAGACTAGATGTGATTATGCTCTTAAACTCAACCTACAAGCTTTTAATTAAGGTGCTACATTAGAATGTATCTTTTTTTTTCCTCCTCTCATAGCTCACTGACCACAGCAAAGGAGATAAAAGTATTCTGCCAAAAACCAATGCTTTGTTGCTTATTTTTTCTTTACTTTACACTCTGAAAAGCATTAGTGGGATAGATTTTAATATAATATTTAACAGAATTTAGACTTTGGTCAAATATCTTGCAAGCATTATCTTGCCAGCTTACCTGATCAGTACTTTTGTAATTACTCAGTCCTTTCAAAAAGTGTTTTCATGGACTTGCCAGTAGTCTCCATCACGCTACTCATTTCTTCAATTCCCCTAGAAAGTCTTAGTCTGCACACTTTCACAGGCACTTAACTTTCCAAACAGGTATTTTCAAATAGCAGTTTTTATACAGCAGAGGCATCAGCTGAAAAGCTGTAAGTGTGCAACGTAAGGAAAAGAAGTATTTTCCTTCAGCAAGTGGGAGAAGAGGTTAAGCAGGAGCATTATCTAGAGCAGCCCTGGCTCCACACCTTCTGCAGGGCCGCCTGTTCCAGCAGCTGCCAGCACAGGACCCAGCAGCACGCACACAGAGCCCATGTTCCCCAGTTGCAGCATGCTGACACATGCTAGGCCATGGGAATGCCACCTCCAGACTTGGGGGGAAAGCGGCACAAACCGCCCTCACCACAGTTGTGCCACTTCAGCCCTGCTGGAAAAAAGAGAAAAAAAAAGGGAAGGAAGGGGTGGGAGTATTCATCAACTATGCCATTTTCTTCACCACATCTTGCAGTCCGTTAGAGCACTTGATAGGTGACACAGCAGAACCACAGGCCATTAATTGCAGCAGCATTTTCATGTCAGAATGTTTAAGTTTACAAGGAGCACAGGTGCTGCTTTCCCTACCAGAACTAACTCCACTGTTTCACTAGGGTAAAAACTGAGCTTTTGAATTAAAAAAGTGAGATCACTCTTCCCTTCGGAAAGTCAAAAAATTGTTATATCAATCAGCTTCTCTATTTTCTAACATCAAACCAAACCTAATAGGTTTGACTTGGAAATAAGTTCTCCCAGGATTCATTACACATTTTAGGCAACACATAATGGTGGCCATGCAATAGCCAGAAAAAAGGCAAGCAGTTCATTTTTTCTTCCCTGAAACAGGACCATATATATCCACAGAGACTTCTGAGAACAGGTTAGACAGTTCATCAATTAAGACTTCATACACTCCCTCCCTATCCTGTCCCAGTGTTCAAGCACGCTTAACATGTCACCTACAACCTGAGCTGGATTATCACTTCTCCAAATTCAGTTTATTACTTCTTGATCTACTCTTAGAAGACACTGAAAACACCTATTTGTTCCTACCTGTAGCATCTTCTTCCATTTCTGAAGTTTGTCACTGTGTATGTTATTCCTCCCCTAACTACTCCCCTCCTACAGCAAGACAGATCTCTGAAAAATTAGGTTCTTTCTTAGATGTCTTACCCTCATTATGTTCCCAGACACTTTCTATGCCACTGATCTGCACTTCCAGGTGCCAGTCCTTCACTCAGCCCAGATGTATCTTAATGTCTGAATTTCTCTGAACCGCCGCTATTTCATCTCCTCTTCCACCCCTTCTGTTTCATTTTTTCCCCGCTCGTACAGCCCTTCATTCCCTGAACTCTGCTATCTGTAGCACACTTGAACACCCTTATCTTTTACAGGCACGCTTGCAGTGACTATGTATTTCTGGTTGCGTTTCTGCACACCGAGATACTTTTCATGTGCTTCTGAACTACTAAAATTCCCTACAAGATTAATTCGTTAAACCAATCACTATTTCACAGTAATTCTCACCCTTTGAAAACTACAACAGTTCGCGTAATAACGTAACCCGCTGTTTAGAACTTGAATCGTATCACTTTGCAACTTGTTTACTATTTTGCTGTCTTTTTTTTTTTTAATAAGTGGAGATACATTCACGTTTGAATACAGAGTGCTCTCTCATTTACCATAAAGAAACATGGTCCAATTACATTAGCCATGAACAATGAAATAGATCTGAAAGGCAGAACCCGTTTAAATGCTTTTTAAAAGAATAGAGGAATGGATAAGAGCAAAGACGGTTCTGAGGCCTGCCTCAAGGCCACCAGTCTTGGCGCAGATGGCAGTGGAGGTCTATGCTGCAAGTTCCCAACGCTTGTCTTTACAGACAGTAACCAGCATCTTTGAGTGGATGGGGAAGAAAGAGTGAGGAGATAAGGAGGCTTTGCTGCCCTGAATACACCAGACAGCAGAGGCAGCGCCAGCCGGCAGTGACACTCAGCTGCTGACTTCTGGAGAGAACAGGACAGAGCCACCAACCACCCCAGCACCAGAACAGTGTATTCTGGGGCTTTCTGAACCCACATCAAAGCCAACCTAGGATGGCATTCAATGTGAACACAACTAATGCCAATGACCAGACTGCTTTTATGGAGACGGTAGATTCTCACATCTACTCTGAGGAAACTGCTGCAGACCTGAAGCCGGTTTGGGGTCGGACCATCCATAGGGAAGCACAGCCTAGGCCTGGGGTGCAGCAGAGTCAGGTTCATACATCTGCACTGCCAGCTATAACAGAGCCTGACCTGCTTTGCTTCTGTTAGCAAAAACAAAAGCAAAAATATGCTATTAGCTATGCCCCTGCATGTGATGCGCTATAAATATACTTACATCTTTTGCCATGTTACCCCAGCCTAGCAGGCAATCCTCTTACAATCCTGCTGCCTGCGGGACGCTGGGACGACGATGCTATTTTCTAGAAAGCAAACACAGCCAACATCAGTCAGCTCACCACAATGAGAGGGAGGCAAACTTCGCACCGCCCCAATTCCCGACTGCTCCCCACAGCGTTCTGCTTCACAACACAACCCTCCGGGAGAGCACAAAGTTCCCCCCCCCAACCCCGCTCCGTCGAAGCGACGCCCCCGCTCGCAGCCAGCACGTGGGAGCGACGCCCCGCCGCCCCCCCCTCCCCGCACAGCCGTCGGCCCCGCTCCCGTCCAGCCGCACAGGGGGGTGCACAGCACGGTCGGGCCTCCTCCAGCCGCCCCTCATCCCGACGGCGGACACGCGTAGGCCTCGGGGTCGCCCCCACCCCGTCTCCCGCCAGCAGACAGAGGCTGCAGCCGCCGCCCGCCCCGCGCCCCTCCGCCGGGGCCTCCGCTCGGCGGCGAGGGGCCACGCCGATCGCGGCGACTCCCATCCTTCTCCCCGTATCGTCGGGCTGCAGCCACCCGCACCTGAGCGGCCCAAGGCGGAGAGCTCCGGCTCCATCCCCCGCCGCCGCCGCCGCTGTCCCCCACCAGCCCGGGTCCCGGCGCGCAGCACCCCCCGCCCGGCGCCGCGCTGCCGCTGCGGAGGCGCCCGACTGCACATGTGCGGCGGCGCGCGCGGGCCCGCGAGCCCGGCGGGAGGGGGCAGGGGCGGAGGGAGGGAGGGAAGGAGGGAGGGAGCGGGCGCCCAACGGCCGCTCGGTGAGGGGGGGGGACGGCTGAGCACGCTCCGTGCCGGCGCGGCGGGGCGGGGGGGGAGCCGCGTGCGGGCTGTCACCGCGCGGCCCCGCGGCCCTCGCACACCTGCCCGGGGGGCGGCTGCAAAGAGCGAAGG